ACTCTTTCTGCTTCCTGCATAAGTAGAAAACAGTTAGGCCGCTTCAGAGTTTGTTTCTTCACCTGTGTAACTAAATACCTCTTTGGTATACCGGGGGTCCCTTGGAGCTAGAAAATAAGCTGATGTTTAAAGAAATGCAGGGCTCTTGCTCCTGCTTTTGGAGGCTCTGTGGTATTCCTAAGGCTTGGTGAGAGACACATTCCTTGCTGATGGTTTGCATTGGCTGTTGTATCAGAAACATCGTTTGGATAAGCTGCAACTACAGCACCTCAGTGTTTGTTACTGACTGCACCTGAGCCTGGTGGTAATCCTACACTGGAGTTGCTGATCCCAGCCTCTTTCTTTTGGGCCAACTGCAGCATAATTAACTCATGTCTCAAGTTTAGATTTGAGTATATAAAGGACTTAAAATAAGCAGTCAAAACTTAAGCATCATGCTTGTTTGTTATGACTTCTGTGCAAGGAAATGGTGGGTAAGATGGCTGTTTAGGGGACCAACTCCATGCGATTGTGTAACTTGCCCTTAAGTCATAAAATCTTTTTTTATTTTTGCCTTAATATTTTTCTTATTAGAAAAAAGTGGATCCATTTGCAAGCGCTGTTCTTCTTCCATATCGCTTTACAGATGAAACTAATAAGGTCTTGGTTTTCACAGAGGTGAGTAAGAGTGAATTACTTGCTTGATAGGTTCTATGTATCCAGCATGCTCTTACAACACAACTAGTTCCCATGCAACTACTATACCGTATATTGAGAAGACTCTGTGAACACTTTACAGAACTCCTAAGTCTGTCTAGGATTTGTCTTCAGCAGTGTTGTAATGTGTTATAAGCATCTTACAGGATTTCCTTCATCTTGATAGGTTTACAGGTGTGTAATTATTCTAGCAATGCACTTAGGGAACTAACACCTGCATAGATGTGGCTAAGTAAGAGATAATTAAAGATTGTTTATGGAGTAAAACCTTTGTCAGCTTTCTGTAATACAGGCAGATGGTCTAGTGTAGCAGCCATGTCCAACCCTGCTGTCTTAAGCCTTAGTAGGCAGTGCGGATTAGAAGCGGGTGTTATTCACAGTAACTTGTGCTGTAACAGTATACCTTTGGGGGGAGGGGGAATTAACTTCTCCTCAGAAACCCTAAACAATTTAACAGCTCTCTGCCTCAAACCCTTTGTCTACTCCTAGGAGTTGCCTGCTGTGAAATGGTGTGCAGAGCAGTTGTAGCATGGGTATGAGGTCAGTTTTGGCCTCTGCTGCTGTCCTTTGCCAGCTAATCATTCTAACTAATAGACCTACATGTATCTGTATGAGATAATCCTAGAGAACTGTCACAGATTTAGTTGACGACCCTTTGGGCTTAATTTGTATAAGATTGTCTACCTGAGCTACAAGGTGAGAATCCTCCTACGGAACGGAGGGCTGACAGAAGACCCGAGCGTGCCAGGTTCCTTGGTGCTGCATCTCACAACCTTCTCTCTTTGCTCAAATTCATGTGGGGTAGGAGATCCTTTGCTTTGTGAAGGTGTATACGTGGAAAAAGGTTGAGCGACTGAAACACTTGCTAGTGCTTTTGGATGGAAGTGTGGAGCTATTCGGTTTATTCTTGCGAGGAAAAGTTGATTCTGGCTTCGAGTCATGAATATCTGCTTGTGTCAAAAGCTTGAGCCAAAGTTTTTACAAAACCGATGCCTTGTACCTTTCCATATCTCAGACTATTAAAAGTTAAACCTTGCGGCGGACAGATGAGGTTAACTTCTGAATGCTCTTTGAAGCCGACGTTTAATAGCCCTTTCAGAGGTTGATTAGCCTTATTTTACAGTGGTTTTTAGTAGCATGTTCTGTGCTTTTCTTTAAGCTTAGAGTAAGAGATTGGCTCCATCCAGTGGATGGTTCGTTGTAGTTTCCAGGGGATGGGGCGGGGAGAGAAAGGACTTTTGATAGAGCTGCTGACCAAATGGGTGGGGCTTTTCTCCTTCTTCTCCAGTCGAAGTCGACCAAAGACTTGACTGCTTCTTACTGGGACCTGGACTGAAGTGGGGTTGCTGCTCCTACATTAAATCACCAGCATTAGATATTTTTGGTCTTGGATTGCCTTAAACCATTCTTTCCTTCTTAACCTGTAAATAGCCTGTTTTTATACCCAGTTGTCCAAGGTAAATCACCTATCCGGTGCTTTTGATACAGACTAATTGGTAGTACAGATGTTACTAAATGTTTTTTTTTTCCTCTCAACAGAATGAGCAAGAAGCTGAAATAGCTCGAGAGAATGGAGCTGCTGTTGTGGGAGGAGTTGAATTAATCAAATGGGTATTTGTTTTTTTTTTTCGAAGACTTATGTAAATATGCTAACTTAAACAGTGACTGAAGTGGAGGGAACAAGAAACCTCATGTCCAGTAAATGCTAGCTTGAAGTTAGCAGCCAATATAAAGATTGGGAGATGGGTTTCTGTGCTCAGACATGCTTGTAGGTCAACTTGCATACTGAGGTCACTTATTGTATTCCTAAATAAGTTTAATTTTTTTGTTGCAGATTTTGGAAGATGAAATCCAAGTGGACTTCTACGTAGCTGTTCCTGCAATAATGCCGAAGTTAATACCATTAAGGAACAAACTAAGACGAAAATACCCAAGCACAAAAAGAAGTAAGAAGCAATTCTTTCTTATAAATCTCAAGTACTGAACAAGATTGAACTCTGGAAGTGACACTGGAACTCTTTTGATGAGGATGTGTAATTACATTGAGTATTAGACTGTATGTGACTGAACCACTTGTTTTGTCTTAGGTAAGAGTAGTTTTAGGAATCTGAACCGCGCTTTTCTCCTACAACAGGCAAATGTGGGATTAGAATCAAGGTAAGTTTCCCTACTAGTTGCCCCTATGCTTGTTAGTCCTGATGAACCATAATAATAGTGTGAAGTTACCTAGGAAAACAGAAACAACTTGAAAAAAAAGATATTCACTGAGATAGTTGTGTTGTCTAACTGTTGTGCAATTGTTTGGATCCCAGCTTGGTGACTGTTACTGCTCCTTCTGCCATGACTACTCAACAACGGAGTTAGTTATGCTTTTCCTTAGTACAGCCCGCTCCCTTACCTGTGTGGTCTCTCCTGTTTCATAATGCTTGAGACATTTCCTCTTCAGGTCAGGTTTTCACAACAACAAACATCAGTCCCTCAATACTTTTGACCTCCCTTGCTGACTTACTTGATTTTTAGCTATGTGTCAGGGGTCTATTTCAAATATGAAAAAAGAAAAGGGCTGTTTTTCAAACGTGGAGCCTGTGCCAGCTGTGTGAAGCACTGATTCTTGAACTGTATCTCTAACTTCCCTGCCCTAGCTGTCTTAATGTTTTACAAGCTGTAGGCAGTGGTTTTTAGGCTCCTAAACATTTGAGACAAACCTATTAACCAGTCCAAAACAT